CTGCAGGCCTGGGAAATAGAAGGGTTTTGATGGTGCATTGATTTTGCTGTCTGTGGAGGGTCCTGGAACCAGTCCTTTGTGTGTTCTGAGGCATGACTGTACATATACCGGTTATTTAGTGATATGGATTTAGAAAAATAGGAAAATGCTCTCTTTGTATATCTAATATTTTACAATTACTTTGGAAATTTTGGTTGACCTTGTGAGAGATTTAGAATTTATTATCTTTTTTGCAAGCTTACTGCAGTGCATGGCATTCAGTCAGCTTTTGATGAAGCTATGTCTTATTGTCGATATCATCCCTCCAAAGGATATTGGTGGCATTTCAAAGATCACGAAGAACCAGGTAGGTAGAATCCCCAGGCCCTCTTAAAATGACTTCTGATTTTCTAAGGATGGAACTGTTTTCTTTAGAAAGCAGCTATTGATGTTTTGTCTAAATATGTTTTTCATAGCAGAATGACATTGCTGAAGCTATGATTCATGTAACTAGGTTTGATAATAATAGCTTTTATATAGGAATGGATATAAATTCAATCTATTAGATAACTGGTAGTCTTATTAAATGTGCTTCAAGGTTTTCTTGTTTTAAGTTTTATGGGCACAATTTGGATATACATAATGATCATATTCATCATAGAAGGTTATAAAATCTTTGGAACATGAGCAACAGGGATGGCAATGAGCAAGGTATTTCCTATTTATCTGTTGAGTTATCTTCACACTTTGAACTCTTCTCACTTTAGTCTTGAAAGTAGGGGAAATTAGGGGCTGCTCTTTCAGCCCCGTCTTTAGATGACCAGGTTGGTTTTTGATCCATCTGTGTTGCTTCCTTCTTGTGGTGCCAGGTCCCTTAATTCCTGTGGCTGCCAATCTGCTACTGTTACCTTTTTACAGAAAAACTACAGAGATATGTCAGTAGCAGGTTTTTTGTGGTCTGCATTTTCTTCTCTGAGATTAATAACTCAAAATAAGTTACAGTGGATAAGGTAGCCCTTGTATGGAATTCAGACCCATAGAATGGTCTTTCTGATTTAGTAATTTTGATTTTAATAGGTGCAGACAATGATGTTTGGCATAAGAAAGTTTGCCTTAGTTAAATGCAGTTGGCCCAGGAGCTATTTTTCTGTATCTAATGAAGTTTAGAGTAATACTTTCTAGAACCCTTAATTTAAGATAATTTAGGGCTGGAGAGATAGCTCAGCAGACTAAGTTCCTGCTTAGGCAAGTGCAGGGAGTGGCGTTTGATCCCTGGCACCACGTGCTGTGCTGGTCCCGACTCTGGGCATGCTGAGCTGGCCACTGAGACCAGGCGTGATGGTGCATTCTTGTAATCCCAGCCATGGGGAGGCTGAAAACAGGAGGATCATTATGAGTCCGAGCTGCTTAGTGAGACCCTGTACCAAATACAAAAAGAAAAAGATAATTTAAAGCTAATACCCAATGTACGTAACCTCCTATCCCTCACCATTATGAATTTTACATGTGAATAGATTCAAAATTTTTCCTTCAGGTTGTTTCAAACTTTCATAGTTGTCTTTTGGCCTCCCACTCCTACCTTTGTCCTGTGAATTAGAACATGCCAACTTGAGTTTATAAAATGTGCATTTTTCATTATTTCCAATATGTTTTGTGGGGAAAGACCACTTAAAATGCATGATACTAATAATCCAGGTTGTAGTTTAGGTAAATATGAAAATCTTTAGCTTTAAAACTCATATACTGAAACTAAAGTGTCTTTAAAAGATATATTTATCATTTTTTAAATGTCAAAATTTAAGGAGAGCTGGAATACTTCTTCACATATGCTGTGTTCATGTTATTTGGGGGATTGTATAACTATAGTGGCCTTTCAAAATAATGAAGTTTGTACATACTTGTGGATAAAGGTTATACAATATGAGACATCAAACTAATTAGGTAATATTTTGATGTGGATTTTATATTTTAATAGATAAAGTCAAGCCAAAAGCTAAAAGAAAAGAAGAACCAAGCTCTATTTTTCAGAGACAGCGTGTGGATGCTTTACTTGTAGACCTTAGACAAAAATTTCCACCTAAATTTGTTCAGGTAATGAGAATGTGTGACTAATGCTTCTTGTTTGTCTCTGTGTGTGTGTGTGTGTGTGTCTGTGTCTGTGTCTGTGTCTGTGTTTGTGTATGTGTGATTTGATTTTTGTTTTTAGGCACACATATTTAATTGAAAACTGTTTCGGGTCTGGCCTAAAAAATAACTTTGCTGGTAAATATTCCCATTGCCAAAGATTATTCAAGTGTAACAGGTAGTAAAAAATCTAGGATATAAAATTCTTCTGCAGGCGCAGGGCCTGGGGGTTAGATCCTCAGACCTGCCATGCCAGCCCCGCCCCCGAGGTACACTGAGATGGCAGTTGAGACTGGGTGTGGTGGCATACTGCTGTAATTCCAGCTCTTGGGAGGCTGTAAACATGTTGATCACTATGAGTCTGATCTAGTAGTGAGACCCTGAACACTCTGTAGACCCTTCCCTAAAATTAAAAAA